AAAAAAACCAAAACATTCTGAATCCTTTTCAACTTTATCCCCTAACTTCTTGCTTCTTTTCCATTCGCTCTCCCCTTACAATTATTATAACAAAGTGTTAGATCTTTTCACTCTGTGTCATATGTTTCCTGGACTTTTTAATGCGTTGCCTGTTTTATTGTCCTATCTGTTCACTAATGGGGACATTTCCTTTTGAACTCCCTTCTATTTCACTAATGCTCTCATTTGCTATGTCCAATACGTGGAGCTTTAATTTTCCAGTTCAGTTTTCATTTATACTTAATAGTCTATGATATATTATAATTTTCCTTTATATATCATCTGTCTGTCTAACTATTTTGCTACTGAATGAGTTATGGATACTTTAATGGACATAATCCAACATCACTCACAGCACATCACTTCTAATACTCAGTTTTCCTTGCTTGTCATTCATATGAATTTGTCTATCAACATGGCTCATAATTTTAAATTGTGCATATATATTATTTTAAGAGTATGTAAAAGAAGATTCTAAAGACAAAGAAAAGTAGCAAAGATTAGTCAAACAACGGGATTATGGGATATTTTTTCTACTCTGTTTTTGTAATTACCTAAATAATTTTATGCAAAAATTATGGTGTACAAAAAATTTAACTGTAACATTTATTATCATCAGAATCATCTTAAATTCAAAACATTTATCACACTCAATCATTTTGAAGAAATGCAATAATATTTATTATCAATCTCCAAGTATTATGAAATATTTCTGATAATATATTTATTATTAAAACAAAATACCTTTGCAAATTTCAATTTTATAAAGTTAGTGTTAACAAACTAATATTTATTTTTAACATATTCTGTTTCAAGAAAAGTTTTTAAGGTTAAAAATTTCCTGCCGGGCATGATGGCACACGCCTTTAATCCCAGCACTCGAGAGGCAGAGGCAGGGGGATCTCTGTGAATTCAAGGCCAGTCTGGTCTACATAGTGAGTTCCAGGACAGCTGGGGCTACAGGGAGACCCTGTCTCAAAAAGACCAAAAAAATTTGTAATGCAGTAATAAATTAAATTTCACTGCCAATATGCAACATTATCTTAAAGTGCTCATTATCTCTAGAAGCATAATAATTCAGTACCAATGGAGAACTAATTGCATAACAACAAACAATACCTCATGTTGTCTAAACTTCTCTTTCCACATTTTCTCTTCTTTATGGAGTTCATCATTCATTTTATCCTGGTCTTGCTGAATGAAGAACAACATCAGAATATTATTATATTCCAGTATTAAAGAACATATGCATTGAAGAAGATTCTTACAGCATATGTTTATAAACAATGATTAAAGATGACAATCCCCAATAACCCTAAGTTATTAGTAATGAAATCACACTTTGAAGTTAAATCTATTGTCAAACTAAAACATCATATAAATGGCCCCTAAAGCTCCCATTCTGAGGTCTCAGAAATGTTTGCAACCTGGGAAATATTTTCAAAAATTTGTGTGACTATGTCTCTTCACACAATGTGTTGGCTACAAATAAAGATGGTCATTGCAATAATGTGATGTGGGTTTTCTCCCTGCAGATACCATTTAACTCAACAATAAATAAGTTCAGTAAGTAATGGTTTTTCTTCCATAACCATAGTAATACACAAGATTATAAAAAACTATAAGGAATGAAAAAAAAAGAATAAAATTGGACCTGCAGGGCTCTCTCCAACCCACAGGCCTCTCTCTCTGGGGAAAGTCGATTGGGCCCTCCGAGCCTTGACTCCCTCAGCCTCATTCACCCTCCCGTCTCCCTGCTGGTCTCTCCTCTTAGCCTGGGTCCTGTCCCATTCCTTGTCTTGGTGCCCCAGTACTGGGGGACCACCACTGTTTCCTGATCCTTTTCATCCAGACCAACGCAGTTCCCTCTCAGGTAACCAGGAGAACTGCTTCTGGGCCTGGCCCTGCTCTCATCTCCCTCTGCTCCCCTGGGCCTGCATGACCCACAGGCCTCTCTCCAACCTGCAGGCCTCTCGCTGACCCTCAGGCCTCTCTCTCTGGAATAAGTAGATTGCACCCTCTGTGCCTTGACTCCCCCAGCCTTATTCATCCTTCCATCTGCCCCACCAGTCTCTCCTCCTAGCCTGGGTCCTGTCCCATTCCTTCTCTTGGCACCCCAGACACCTGGGGAACCACCACTGCTTCCTGATCCTTTGCATCCAGACCAACTCAGTTCCTTCTCTGGTCCCCAGGAGCATTCTGGGCCTGGCCCAGCCCTCACCTCCCTCTACTTCCCCAGGCCTTCACAACCCCCCAGACTATTTTCTGGACGGTGGGGCTGACCTTTCCTTTTCCTGATCCTTTGTATCCAGACCAACCCAGCTCCTCAGTGCAGTCCCCAGGAGCCCTTGAGGCCTCTTCCCGTCCTCATCTGCCTTTGCATCTCTGGGTGGGAGGGGCACCAGCTGCCATAGACCAGCATCTTTCCTAGGTCTGGCTCCCAGGCCAGCCCAACCCCAAAATTCCTGAGGCTAAAATTATTCCTGGAGGGATCCAGACCTTACAAGAAACCCTGAGATCATCTGATCCTCATCTGACTTGGGCCTCTGTGGAAACTCCTGAAGACAAAAGCAATCTGGCAACTCCAATATAAAATCAAAGGAGAGAACTGGAAGCTTAGAGGAACCAGCTTTTCAAGTGGAAAAGTAAACAACAAATATGCATAAAGTTCACAAAAAGAAGCAGGCCTAAACTTGAAGGTTTGAGTCTCACACAAGAATCAGAAATTACAAAAGAAACCCACACGTCAAAATCACAGAGAAAAAATAATAATATGAAAAAAAAATAACATATCCACAGCAAATACCAATAGTCTTATAGAGGAGTACAATGAGAAC